GTGAAGGAACTCTAGCAGAGCCCTTGGCGAGCCAATGCCAGTCTGAGTAGACAATACCGACCCTGATGGAGCAAGACTCTTGATCAGGGGTCATTTCGTAGAAAAAGAGCTAGGGGGACTCATTAGCATAACTCATTAGCATATGCCACACCCCCTGACATCACCGGAAGTGTGTCATAAGGCCACACCCCGACATCACCGGAAATGTGTCATAAGGCCACCACCACCCCTGCCCCCAACGGTCCCGGCCGCCCATGAGGGGCCCGGCTGTGGACCTGCAAGGCCGGCGGGAGTGCAAGGAAGCCCCACAAAGGCCCTCCCTGGCTTCAGGCAGGCAGGGGTGGGGAGAGGCAGGGAGGAAGCAACTTACCCTCCCTCTTCTCCTGCCTCCTCCTGGCTGAATGAGGGCCGGAAGCGGGGCGGCCGGAAGCAGGGGGCGGGGCTTCGTCATGTGCCCCGCCCCTGTACCTCACTGTGATCCCCCGCGATCCCCCCCGAAATGACCTCTGGATAAGGCAAGAAATCCCTGCTTCAAATCTTGCCTTGGCTCTAATTTTACTAGGTAACTGCAAGCTAATCATTGCTAGCCCCTCTTTTGCTTCAGGAAGATGACACTGAAGTCCCTTATTAGGGTGGCTGTAAGGACGGCAAGAACATGTGAACACTTGAAAGATTTTTATCAGTGATTATGATCGCTATGATTCTTGCAAGTAGAAGACATTGGTTACTGGTAGCAACTGTTTCCGTTCTCTAAACAAGAACTGTTCATGGTACCATTTACAACTATTAAGAGAAGCAGACATCTTGTCTCCCATTGTTCTGCATCCTATTTTATATATAGGCACAGCCCAAAACTGGAAGGGGAAAGGTCTGTGTGAAGCAGTTTGGGTTTTGTTGTAGGGCCCTCCTATGTTGCTTGATGCCTTCTTTTCCAGGAATAATAAAATGGAACTTAATATCTGTATTCCTCATTGTAATATACTTTGGTCACATTCCAATGTTAATTACAGACCAATTAGACTACTAGGTGCATGAAGCAAAGTCATTATGTAATTATAATCTGTAGCTTTTTATGTCTCATTTGTTTAAAAATAAACAATAGACTTGAAGAAAAAAATATAGGTTACAATAAAAAGTATAACAATGAAAATGTTTGCAAATTGTATAATGTTAAATCATTAGGCAACAAATAAGATGTACTCATATAGTGAGTTAAACCCTTCTAAGTCTACTGAAGTCAATTGGCTTAGAAGGGTTTCACTCTGTTTATTATAACATTGTAAGTGCATTTACTTGGAGCCATGTGCTTACAATTGGAACGAACTGCTTGTTTAGTTGAAGGATTTCCTTTGTGGACAGCTTTTAATGCAATGAACTTTCTTGCATCTGTGGACACGAAGACCACCATTTTGACTTAAATTCTGTTTTGATATGAGCCAATTAATAAAGGCCCAATGAACTAGCATATAAAAAGCATATCCAACGAATGACACAATCTTACTGAATCCATGAGCCTTCTAAAGAATATGCTTTGGAGTGTCTGTTTGCATAACTCTTTGAGTCCATAGTAACCCCCCCCCCCCCATCAGCTGGCTTCTATAGTGGAAGTTCAGTGCATGGCATTAGCACTTGTATAATCAACTCAGTTTTTGGCAGCGTTGTTGAGAGTCTGCTTAGTGCTAAAATGAAAATGGACATGGGTTCAGAGACACCTGAAATGGTTGTCAGGATAAAGATCAGTGTCTAAACGAAAGGGCTCTGGAACCAATTCTTGAGAGTGGGTTCATCATGTACACAAGATAGACCTTACACGGGCACAACAGGCTCAAGAATATTTTCTCTGCGTTTAGGAGTTCTGTATATTGTTCCTTAGCTTTAAAATAGTGGGTTGGATCCAAAGAAACATCAGTGGAGCTCTGCTGGTATAATGGGTCTTCTTTTTCTGTCTTTCATCCCCCTTGTCACCTAAAAATCTCTTCCTGAACGTCAGGGGGCCCTTGGGAACAGTGTGGGCTGCAGCTTCAGTGGAAAATCTATGAAAATCGCATATCTATTTTTGTGCAAGTGGAAGTGCCCCTTTGGATCCAACCCAGTATTACCAAGGATGGTTGTTTCTAAAAACATTTTTTATTGTATTAGGGATATGGAAGTGGGGAACTGGCAAGGATTCGCTGTGAGGGGGTTCTTATTTTTCCTTCTACCTCCAGTGTAAAGTTTTCCCTCCTTCCCCTCAAAGCTACTGCAACCCTTCCACTATCCAATCACCCTTATCTGTCCCCTCGGAGTCTTCCATTTTTCTCCTTCAATGAGTCTGGCAGTTCCTCCTTTCCTTCTTTCACCTACCTACCATACTCTGTTCCTCATCCACAGACAGACTCCCCCCCATCTTATCTTCATTTTCTCTCTGTGTCCCCTCAGCTGATACTGAGGTATAGAAGCATCAAGTGTTTAAATTAATTGCTCAATTTAATTACTCATTGAGTAAAGAATTTCCCCCCCTTTCATTCCTTTTCTTTCTTTAAAGGTGCACATACTATTGAGAGAGGGGTTTAAGCCCCCCAGTGAAACTTTAAAAATAATTTAGATTTTTCTGCAAACCGGAGCTTCCCAGTGTGTGGATTTTTTGTTCTGCATTCCGGGGTCAGATGTAAATTAGAATTATCACTGAGCTATGCATGAAAAGAAATGATGAGTTAAATTGGAAGAAAAATTCACTATAATGTTTATGCTTGTTTTAGGGAAGTCTATCATACCAAGCGAATGCAGCATGTCATCAGTGTCAAATGGACATCTGATAATAAATATATTTTGTGTGGTTCTGATGAAATGAACATTCGTTTGTGGAAAGCTAATGCTTCTGAAAAGCTGGGTGTGGTAAGTAACCTCAGACTTTTTCTTCTTCTTTTACTGTTTTGCATATCAGAAAAGAATGTGGTAGGCTCAGAACAAACAAACCTAATATTTAATTTGGATAATGGTGCAATGCCATGTAACTAACACTGTTTAGAATTGTGCTGCTAGTCTCCATGAATTCATCCACTGGTTTTTACAAAGATGCTAAAGCTAGTGGAGATTGTCTGGTGTTCCTATTCATTGAATAATCTCAACCTCTGTTCTTTAGAGACCTCATGAATAATCACCATTCACTTCTTATATCTTTAAATCTGATATAAGCTTCTGTCATGGCCATCCATGCCTGGTAATTTTTCTTAAGCCAAACTCTTCCCATGCACCTTATATGCCCTTTTCTCCCTTGAGAGTGATGCTTTACCCTTGATATCTTGAATAGTTTTTTTGTGTGTGGGGGTACCATCTACAACTCTAGTACTCATTTTTGGGGAGGACATAACACCAAAACTGTACATATTTCAGATGTGGGTGCACCATAAAATTACTTAATAGAATAGTAATTACCATAAAATTACATTGTAGACTAGTTACTACCACATAAAACAGGCCGATATTCAGGGATTTCTTATCGCAATGTAACAAATGTAAGTTACTCTAGTGAAATATCCAAATATGGATGTGACTGAGTCAATTAAATTAATAAGATAAACTAATTTGGGCTAAGTGACTTTATTGATCGATGAGATGTAATTGGATAGACTTGTTCCTTTGCAGAAGAAAGGATTCTGAAACTGTTAATTACATGTATATAGTAAATGTTCTCAAGTAACAGTTTATCTTCCAAGGTTCACAGGCATTCACGTTCAAGTGTATCCATTTGAAGACTGTTTAACTTATGTGCTGTGGGCACTCTAACTCTGTATATTTTACCAAAGCCTCCTTAAGCAAGTATCTGGAGAAGCAGGATACAAATATTCTAAATAAATAACCATTTCCCTTGTTTTCTTGATTATATAGTGTGGTACCAAATTGAATTCCATACAGAGACATGTGACAGTAACCTTAAAAACTGGGCTATTTATGGTGTTGGTCATTGTTCTTTGTGTAGATGAGGGGACTTCCAAGCTATTCCTGGGGAGGAACCCCATCTCCCAGGAGCAGCGTTTGCGGAACATTTTTGGTAGTAGTGGGAGCCTCGCAGGGCTCTGCTGGTAGCAGGAGCTCCTTTGCATTTTAGGCCACACACCCCTAGTGTAGCCAATCCTCCAAGAGCTTACAGAGCTCTTCTTACTGGGGCTACTGTAAGCTCTTGGAGGATTGGCTACACTAGGGGTGTGTGGCCTAATATGCAAAGGAGCTCCTGCTACCAGTAGAGCCCTGGGAGAAGTCATGCTTCCACTGATAGAAATCACACTGTCCATGGCTTCTACAGGCAAGATCCAACAAATCTTGAAGTTATAGCTGTCAAGTTACAATGCTGTGTTAAGCTCTCATGTGGCAGTGTAAAATGAAGAGCAGAAATTACCAACCTATGGGGAGGATTACAGTATCCTCTTAATTGTACTCGGGCTGCATGTGGAAAGAGACAGCACCTTTTGAAAAGTAGGGATAGCTGACAATTCTACATCTTTGCAGTGTGCTTCGTCTTATACAAAGCTGAAAGTTTGCAAGATACAAATATATAATGTTTAGTTTTCCTATGATTAGTAAATATTGACTCAGTAGATTTAAGGGGTTTCACATGATAGGTCAGAGGACTCTTGCATTTTAGGAATGGAGAATCAAGCCTCGGCTGAAGATATGAGGGTAGATGTCCTTTACAACCGTAGAGTGATAATTTCGCCTTACGTGTCTGCAATATCTCCAAACATTAAGCTTCTAAAAGGAAGGGGGGGGGAGCAAGAATCTTTATAATGAAAAAATACCATGCAAACCAAATAAACATTATCTTTAAAGAACAGCTTTTCATAACCATTTTTATCACTACAGAATTCTCCTTTTTCAGGCATACATTGTAGAATGTCACTTGATATTTAGATTGGGTTGTGGGTTTCATACCTGATCAGTGTTTGTCTGGTAGGCTGTACTTCGATACTGGGGCTTCCCAGGTATTCGTCAGTTCTTTCATGCTTTCTTTGCCTCATTAATGTATTTGCTGCTGTAGTTTTCACATAAAACCAGTGGAACACTCATGCAAGAACAGCATCTCTGCAGGAATCAGAGACACTTAACATGTGTAGACTGCACTGGCTATTAAGCCTATCGTATCCTGGTAGCTATTGTAGTGTTAGTCTAGTGGTTGGCTTTTTAAAAGGTCAATCTTGGTGCTTGTGTTCTTTTTTTAAAAAAGAGGCTTTACTATAACTACATTAGTATAATGCTAAATTTATAAAGATGACTTAGTTTTTGAATTACAAAACATGTGCTTTGAAATAATGAAAGAAATTACCTGACAGATTTTAAATCCATAGTGGGGTGCACATTAAACAGTTTTGAAAAGTAGCCTAGCAGATCATTCCTTCATGTAACAGAAATCTTTACTACCAGGGTATTGCATTTGAAAGAAAACTTTGGAACAGTATGAGTAGACTAGTACTCCAACTAAGTACTAATTAAACTGTTGTAGGTTGCCGTCTGTACCAATTTGGTTTTAGGGACTACTAATGCAATTGGCCCCATATCAGTGGTCAGTGCTTTTGAATCACTGTGCTCGAGTAAGTAGCTTGTAGAGTCTTGCCTTTGTCCAAGGCCCGGGATCTGCCCAACTCCTGCAGGGACAATGTGTCACAGCAAAAGAATGGCAATCTTAGTTGTCTGAAGGGAGGGAGAGGGTATTTCCTCCCCCCCACCCCGGTTTTGAAGGACATTTTGTGGATGTTTGTGGCTCCAAATAGATAAGCCCAAATTTGTACTACTCATTTTTTTAGACTGAGGATTAAGATTTCTTTGGCAAGCGTGCTGTGCCATGCTTTGGTCTGTCTTTAGATTGTGCATTGACCACTATGACTCTATAACTAAAGCTGATTGCTGGGACTAAACTAGTAGGAGGGTTGAGTTGGGCCTGACCACTGCTTCGAAAAGCACAACACTTCATTTTTGTAGACTGCGACTGCAAGTGGCCAGTCATTTGTACTGGTGGATAAAACGTCATTGTTCAGTTTCCTCTGTCTTATTTGCTAGTGAGTCAGTTACTTGGTAGTGCAAAGGAGGGATTTCGTATATTCTGTCCAGCGTTCGTCTACCTGCTAGATTCTTAACTGTTTGTCTACACAGACTTCAAGCTGGTGTTAATATTTTAAAAACATTTGGCATCATCTGACTCAAACGTCAATGTGGAATTAACATATACACAGAAGAGAGTATCTGTGGCAGGTGTCCAAAGTGTGACAGGGTGCTCTTAAGAGTATTATGAATATCAGATGCAGTCCATGCCTAATTCTGAGACATGTACCTTGTACCTTCTTTACTTGTAGATATCATGTGAAAATTTTTATAGTATTTTTATAGAGGTCTTAAACGTCTTGTGGTTAGTTGGGGTGAAAGTCTTAGAATGTCTCTCACCATAGCTACCATGCACAAAATCAGGGAGGAAAAACTTGTAATAGAGGAAGAATGGCAGACAGTGACTTATGGAGCAATCCATGAATACTGTGCTTTATAAATTAACAAGTCTGTGCTTCCAGAAAGGGCAAGGTTGTTAGATCTGCTACACTTTTAAAAGTAATTAACATAAAAGCCTTTCAGCTTGGACTACATTAACACTTGTGCAGTAAGAGCACCTGTAAATGTATTGATGACTAAAGAGGCGATGATAGAATGTCTCAGTTAAATGAGCAGGTCAAAATATTTCATGTAACTATTCAGGATTATTGCATTTCTTTCTTTAAAATGTCCAGCAACAGTGAAATAGGGTTAATTTATTTTAATGTGAGAGCTAAAACAAACAGGACACAGATTATATGTATGCAGAGTCTCAAAGGGAGACCTTTCTCCCTGTAATTGTTATATTATCATTAAGGGCTTGGCAGTCAGTTTTTTTAGCCACCTACATTCTGACTTCGTAGGCAAAATGCTTTTTCTTAATTGATTTAAGTAATACTTTTATACAAGAGCAATTCCAGTAAAGATGTCTTTCAAGGAAAACTAGCTGAGTTTATGTTCTTCCATTAACAGTGAAAAGAAACTAGGTGTGAGAATGGGTGCCTCCAGTTACTCCCTTGCAGTACTAATTCAAGGGTACAAATTTTGAGAATTATTTTGCGTCTCTAGGATAACAGTCTTGTGTACCAAAAAAAGAGAATTGGGGATGAGGAAGGACATTCACTATCGTGGTCCCTAAATCTTGGTCTCAGGGTTAAATCCAAACCGAATCAGAGTGGACCTAATAACCTGGAATTTGTTTCCTTCTCCTCACCCTTTACATCCCTATAGCACTTGCTGATCTTTGTTCTATTGTTGGTAAATAGGAAACTGGTCATTCAAGGGACAATTTGTAGACTGTTGTATCAATTCTGTTGGGTAGAATGATTAACGAAAGGGTTGCAAATGTGTCAGCAGATGCATCAGTTTCCTTCTTTTGTTCAACACAAAGAGTCAGCTTCTAGGAAAAACTTGTGTCTAAACATGAGTGAAAGTTTGTAAAGGCTCTAGGGTGGTTTCCCCCCTGCCCATTTTAACTGATAGTTTCCCAGTTCTGATCTGACACATTCTGTAAGATCTTTCAGCCACAGTCCAGTGCCCAGCAGCAGACATGGAAATGAAACTTCATGAACAGCTCTGCAATTTAAAATCATTGTAACTTTTTTGGAATATACTGTAATTACGATTTGCAAAGTGTTAACACTGGACTCTGTTTGTGTAGCTTAATCCCCGAGAGAAAGCAGCTATGCTCTATAACCAAAAACTGAAGGAAAAATTCCAGCACCACCCCCAGATCAAGCGTATAGCTCGCCATCGTCATTTGCCAAAGGTCATCTACAGCCAAGCCAAGGAGCTGCACATCATGAGAGAAGCTCGTCGGCGAAAGTACACTTCTTTCATTTTATTTTGTTCATTTGAGTGCTCTGGTGATCCATGCCTTTAGACAAGCATCTTCATTATTGAATAGATTTAGAGAGAATGTAATAATTCTTAAAAGCCGTTCGGTACTGGAATAAACTGCCTAGGCAAGCTTTGGAATCTCTTCCATGGAAGTTAAAAAAAAACAAACCCAACAACAATTGGACAGGAGTCTATTGGGAAGGCTTTATTTATTGGATACTTTTAAGGGCAAGAGGTTGGTCTAGATAGCTCAGTGGTTACTTTCCAAGCCTGATTCTGTATTATTATTTATTTGCTGAATTAAGCAGTTGAATTGGCTGAGTCAGTAAAGTAGAAAAGAGGCCAAAGTGGCAATTTCCTTTCTTTCTGCAAGAATCTTAATAGATGCCAGTCCTTAGAAATAGTCAGAAAATACTGAAAATCCTTAGTGCTCTGTGTGGAGTTATTTAAAATTAGTTTTTCTTAAGGTTGTCATCTAGCCTGTCATTGGTAAAGGTTCTAATATAAAGTATAGTGTGTGTGTGTGTGTGTAGAAGCAATTGAATACTTGTGCTAGTAAACTAAGCAATTAGGCTGTTACTGTCTTTTTGCCACTTAGGGCTAAGATTAAACATCTCATTTTGATTTTTCTTGTTCTAGGGAATTGAACCGGCGCAAGCATAGCAAACCTGGATCGGTACCACTCGTATCAGAGAAGAAGAAACATATTGTGGCTATAGTGAAATGATTTACATGGTTACCAAATTTTACTGTTTGTTGTTACCAAATACAATCCCAAGATTTTACTTTTTAACCCCCAATCCATTACCACTGTGACATTTTTGGACATTATATTAAAAATCACTAGAAAAACTTGTATCCAGGCTGTTTTTAAGAATTCCAGCAATCTGTTACTGTTTTGCACCACTTGTAATCAATTTTTGCCTCGCCTGAAAATGATAGAGGTATTATGTGTGCTGCTGCTGCTGACTTACTATAGAAGATGAACTGCCTCTGTGTTCCAAGTATTTTTGTCATAGCATGGAATATACAAGCACTGGGTACTAATAAGTAGTGTTCTCATTAGATATTTTGGCTAACCAATATCCCAAATGCCAGTAGAATGCGGCAACATATCTTTTAATGCTGAATTTAGGTTATGTTTTTCTTTTCCATTTGCCGAAATAATAAGGGTATTTTCTATTAGTGAAATGTTGAACAAACACCTGTCAGCAAATGGTTTTAATGGAGGCCGTATCAGGCTGGGCATTGGAGCACCCTAGACTGATAGTCCTGGGTGACTTCAATGTGCATGCTGATGACGCGGCTTCCACTCAGGCAGCGGACCTGGTGTCATCCATGGTGGCACTGGAACTCTCCCAATATGTAAGAACCCCCACTCACCGAGCTGGGCATATGCTCAATTTGATTTTTGCGGTGGGGGTAACAGTAGACCAAGTTACTACTTTGGCAGTCCCATGGTCGGACCACCATGCCCTGAGGGCCCGCCTGAATGTGCCACCCCGACCCTGTTTAGGCGGCGAGTGTATTTTTGCTTGCCTGCGGAGCCAGATGGACCCAATGCAGCTTCGGATGGCTCTGTGGGATCCAATGCCCCCTGGCGGATCGTTGGATGAGCTTGTAGAGGACTGGCATAGCCGGCTCTCTGCAGCCATTGACGAGATCGTTCCCCAGCGCCCTCTGCACTCTCACTCCAGGCTTGCTCCCTGGTTTACCCAGGAGTTACGGCTTATGAAGTGAGAGCTGAGACTGCTAGAGAGACGGTGGCATCGCACTCGTGACGAAGCTACAAGAGCATCTTATAGGATGTTTATGAGATCCCATGAGATGGCAGTCAAAGCTGCGAAGAGACATTACTACACGGCGGTGATTTCATCCACGAGCTCACACCCAGCTCAATTGTTTAGAACAATTCAGTCTATAACAGCTCTGCCTCAGGGCAGACCAAATGCTAGGGAATTGGATATTGGCTGTGAGGCATTTGCGAGCTACTTTGCTGATAAAGTCTTGTCGCTCCACCGCGACCTTCCCACCACAGTTGAAACAGTGAGCGAGCTCGAGGCCCCAATCACGTCTTCAGCTTCAGGTTTGGATCATTTCTGCCCACTCAGCCTGGAGGAAGTCGACAGATTGCTTTTGACTGTGCTCCCAACCACATGCAGCCTTGATCCGTGTCCTTCCTGGCTCATTAAAGCGGGCCACCAGGGGTTTCAAGTCACCCTGAGGGAAGTTATCAACAAGTTCCTCTTAGAGGGGCTGTTCCCAGGGGCATTCAAGGAAGTAATGGTCCGCCCACTCCTACAAAAACCCATCTTTGGACCCGGCCAAATTGGCTAATTACCAACTGGTCTCTAATTTGCCCTATTTGGGCAAATTAATTGAGAGGGAGGTGGTGATACAGTTACAGGGCTCTATGGATGACACTTCCATGTTAGATCCCTTCCAGTCTGGCTTTCGCCTGGGACTCAGGATGGAGACAGCACTGGTTGCTCTGATTGGGGCAGTTCGGTAGTACTTAAGAACATAAGAGACGCCAATGTTGGATCAGGCCAAAGGCCCATCCAGTCCAACACTCTGTGTCACACAGTGGCCAGAAATACCAGTGCCATCAGGAGGTCCAGCAGTGGGGCCAGGACATTAGAAGCCCTCCCACTGTTGACCCCCCCCAAGCACCAAGAAGACAGAGCATCACTTGCCCCAGAGCCCCTAGCTATACCTTGTGGCTAATAGCCACTGATGGACCTCTGCTCCATATGCTTATCTAATTCCCTTTTGAAGCCGTCCATGCTTGTAGCACCCACCACTTCCTGTGGCAGTGAATTCCATGTGTTAATCACTCTTTGGGTGAAGAAGCACAGTGGAAGAGTGGAATATGCATGTTGTTGTTGGACCTGTCAGCTGCGTTCAACATGGTCAACCATCAGTTCTGCTTCACCACCTCACCAACATGGGAATACAGGGTCTTGCCTAGCAATGGCTTGCTGCCCAGATAGCCCGGAGTCATGGGCTGGGGTGTCATCGGTACACTGAAGACACCCAGCTCTATCTGATGTTGGGTGGCCAGTCGAACTCCAGTCCTGAAGATCTGGACCAAGCTTTACAAGCCGTGGCTGGTTGGCTCAGGCTGAGTCGGCTGAAACTGAATCCAGTAAAGACGGAAGTCCTGTGCGTGGGCCGGGGCGGTGCGTGGGTGGGGACCCCACTCCCGACCTTTGGTGGGGCACCACTGGTGCCAGTGCCAGAGGTTAGGGGCCTGGGAGTGTTCCTGGACGCCTCCTTGACAATGGAGGCCCAGGTAGCAGCCACTGCGAAGTCTGCCTTTTACCACCTACGATTGATTAAGCAGCTGGCTCCCTTCCTTGAACGCAATGATCTTGCAACAGTAATCTATCTCGACTGCAACGACCTGGCCACAGTGATCCATGCGACGGTCACCTCGAGACTAAACTACTGTAACGCTCTCTACATGGGGCTGCGCTAGTCGCAAATTCAGAGGCTGCAGCTAGTGCAGAATGCCACGGCCAGGCTGCTGATGGGCTTACCTAGATGGGAACACATCCAGCCTGTGCTGAAGGTTCTGCACTGGCTGCCAATAGCATACCAAATCTGTTTCAAGGTGCTGGTTCTTACCTTTAAAGCCCCATTTGGCCAGGGTCCGACATACCTGAGGGACCGCCTTTCCCCACATATACCCCAGAGAGCACTGAGGTCGGGGTCACAGAACCGGTTGACCCTCCCGGGTTCCAAGGAGGCCAGGCTCGCCGTGACGAGGGCCAGGGCTTTCTCAGTGGCGGCTCCTTATTGGTGGAACAAGCTCCTGGAGGAGATCAGGGCCCTGCGGGATCTACTGCAGTTCCGCAGGGCCTGCAAGACGGAGCTCTTCCACCGGGCTTTCAATTAGGAGCCGCCACACCAACAACAAGATCTATGGTTATGGGTCGGGACGGGTCTGGAGAGCATATTACAAAATAAATAAATAAATACCATCAACCTCAGTTTTTCCATCTGGCTCACTCCTTCAAGTGACTCGGGACGACACTGAGCTGGATCTCAGCAGCTGTGGACATCTTAATATGCCATCATAATATGCAAGTAATGAATTGAACAACTAATAGCACCTTATGGTTTTATGTTTTTATCTGTAATGTATTGTTGTATATTGTTTTATTGGTTTTACCGACAATTGGTGCCATTGCTGTAAGCTGCCCTGAGCCTGCTTGTGGGGAGGGTGGGATATACATTTAATAAATAATAATAATTTAAAAATATGCATAAGATTTTTTAGTTTGGTTAACAGTAAAGCTTGGACTACTGTCCCACCTTACTGGGGGAGGAGAATTATGGTCCTGATAAAAATTCAAAAGAGATGAGCAGGTTCTTAACTTTCACACTGATATTACTGGGAATTAGAAATGTTTTTAAGTAGGTGGATAATGACCAGTATTGGTACAGCTGCCTGTGCCTTTATACTTTAATCTTGTTTCTGAAAGTGTATGGCATGTCAACGGCCGCACAAGTTATGGCTATAATTGTTAAAACACTCTCTGAAATTATGAATTTACTATAAATTGAGGATACAGAGCTGCTTTACATATACATATAGGGGATGTGTTTCTTCAAGTTTGTAGGTTCCAAGTAATTAAAGCACCTTGTAATGAACTTGGGAACTGCTGGGCATTTAATGCAAAGATCTCAAAATTGGAGTCCTATCATCAATTCCAAATAACAGTTGGCTGCTGCATTCCAGTCTAGCTGAAGTTTCCAAGTTGTCTTCAAGGGAAGTACCATGTGTGGCATGTCAGAGTAGCTGAACCTTGAAGTTACTGTTAAGTGGATCAGTATGGCCAGATTAGTGAAGATAATTTACAAGGCACAAGAAGGTGGGGTAGGGTGTGGGGGGAGTAACTATACTTTTCTGTCAGAGGGACTGGGTCCAATATGACTGCCACACTCTTAAGAGTCTGCCAAGGACTCTTCCAATCCTTACCAATGATCATCATCTCCATCTTACTTGGTTTCAGTTTGTTCAGTCTAAGGTGCTTGGCAGCATGTCACCAACACTGGTCAGAGGCAAAGAAATATATAGCTTGGGTCATTGGCATACTAGAGGATCTCATTTAAAGATGTCAAAAAACATGCACAGGTGATGGCCGTGAATTATGTGAAATCCCACTGTATGTTTTGTACAACAACCTTCTGAACACAGGCAGACAAAAAAGACTTCAACTACACCAAGGCTTTCTTGTGAAACCCCGTTTCAACCTCTTAATGCTTCAACAGCATTCAGTAGTCAACTGTGACCACCGGGGTATGGATTTGTAGTTGGTTGAGCTTCTCTCAAGCACCATACCTAATTATGTGTCCCTGCTCAAAGCCCTGAAGCTGGTAAATTGGGCCTAAAAACAGTCTTCAGGTCTGCAGCTGCCACCAAGTGTCTGAATTGGTACAGCTTCCCCCGCATACTGCATTTTGCTGGTTAATGCAGACTCTTCTACTTTTGTGGGAAATCACAGATAAACTCCTAGAAGAAACCTTTTCCAGCACTGCCACTTATGATAAACCTTATGTAAGCTGTTGTACAACAGCAGCTCTTCAGAGCAAGCAGGTTCTTTGAATTGGGACTAGTGTACTTTTGTATGAAGTGCTCGTCAAGGTTTTTAGTGTCATAAACAGGAAGTCCTCTGGCTTGAACCTACTAGGATTTCTAAAAAAAAATGTAAAACCTGTTTGTGGGAAGAGGCTTGATATAAAGTACTCTGTGAGTCTTTCACTAATCTAAAGAAAACTCTATGGACACTGTAGGATTCTTTTGTATTCCTCTGAATGTATTGTCTAAGATAACAGCAGCTGATTTCATCATAGATGGCCTAACAGAGTTAACTCCCAGGTCTCTAACACATAAGTCTACTAAGTAACCACTTCATTAGAAATTGAGAATATTAAAGCAGCGGTTTCCTCTAGAGAGGAAGCCATGGCTGTAGTCGCAGAAT